CCCCCCCCCCCCCCCCCCCCCCCTAGAAAAATGTACCGGTCACTTTTTTAAAATACACCTTTTCTTTAATAGGAGCGGCAGGTAAATGAGTATGAGTGAATAGCCAACAGTGGTCATTCTGGTCAGGCATTTTATGGTGGAGTAAGTGCACCAGTCAGCTGCTCTTGCATTGTCGATCATATGATGAGTATTTCGATATTTTGATTTTACGTAACGAAAAAATAAGGTTATGGCTTTCAGGGCTGCGTTATGCGAAATGGTTCAACAAAATACTAAGTATTCCTATCTGTAGACCTACTTAAGAACTGTTTTTAAATATCTTTCTGTTTATACTTAGCTGAGGATGAAACCAGACATCATAGCTTTTCATAACATTTTTAAATTTAATTACATTAGAATAGATAATTTGATACAATTGAGTTCGTTGAAAATCATAAAAAAAGCTGCAGTAAAGCGTCGTTGGTAACAAAATTATTGGTCTGATACTGGATTGTAATCTGTCCCGTCTCAAAATTCAAAAGATTTGATTGGTTGATTATAAATACAAACCAATAGACATATATTATCCTAAATTGTATTCATATGAATCAAACAACCAAACGTAGGAAAAATTGATAAATATTTGATCAAAAAAGACAAATTGCTTGATGGTTCCGACACTACTACGACTGACACTGGTATCAAAACCACAACGGGCAACACAACTCTGAAAAGACAGGAGTACCAGGTGACATTGGAAAAGAAGACGTTCCAAAGCAACCGAGAATAAAATTTCAAGCGAAGTCTGGTCGCCATTTTAGAAACAGCTGGTATGATCGATTTCCATGGCTGGAGTATTCAGTGTCAAGGGACGCCCCTTTTTGATTTCCATGTAGGGTGTTTCACAATACATCTGCGGGTGCATAAAAATTCATCACTGAAGGCTACACAGATTGGAAGCATGCTGTAGGTGATACTGGAAAGGGCCTCGAGAAGCATAACAATTGAGGTGTCAAAACAATTTCTCCAAGATAACGTTGCCAAGACAGAAAATCAGGACTCCAATCTTGTTCATCAAAAACTATACGAGCAGAAATTGGCTTTCCCTAAATTATATGCACTGGCTGCAAGCGTTGCCACATTCGGTTCTAGTACCGCTGTGTGTGAAAGCAGCTTTTCAACTCTTACTCGCGTTGACTCACCACAACGATGATCTATGACTTCGCCAGTGCAATCTTGTTCTTCTTGCTTTCAACAGGAAGCGTACCCAGAAAATTAACTTGGACGTATTTGTTCAACGTTTTGCCATAAAACATACCCGACTACGTTTAAACTAAAACGGCAATAAAAATGTAACGTATTATAACTTGTGTGTTTTAACAAAAATAATCTCGAATCTAAAATACTCCATGAAAGTCCGTTTCCCGACGTTTAATCGTCTGTCAAGGTGCTTTGCTAAATTGCCCCCCCTCGATTGCACGTTTGCGGTCTTACTGGTTTACACGGATTGGTCGGATGAAAAACACGTGGCGACAGTTTGAAAGTAAAGAATCCTGATTAAAGCTGATTGTGCCATGTTTTCAGTTTGATAAATCTGTAACGCACAGTGATTATTAACATCTCGAAACATCTACAAAGATCCCAGTGAAGACTGCAACTCAGTGTCTAATAAAGTTTTTATGATTATTAGGCGTCAGGAGAATTCGTCGAAGAGAATGAAATTGTTACCGACTAAAGAGTGGTTTATTCGTGTCAGGAGCCTCTAACATCAGCAACAGTTATCCTAAGATACGAAGTAAATTAACATTCATGTAACAATAACAGGTTTATTTACATTCACCAAACCAACCAACAATATTGATACATATTTAAAGGGATTGTAAAGAGGTTTTCTAGGAAAAACAATATATGTATCGGGGACACTGATAACGTCAATTTGCACTATTCCAATTTGAGTCAGACATATGTGTTTCCTGCAAATTCCGCAAAAAATAATTGTTTGATGACGTCACTAATCGTAATGTAACGCGCGAAATAAGACTATTCGTTAACAACTTTTACCTCAAATTTCCAATTACAAATAACTATTTGATAATATGGTACAAATACGTGTGTTGGAAAATGTTTTCCAAAAAGGATGTAGGTTATAACATTATAGTTTTATGATGACCTGCCTCTCCACTCATCAACCAGTTGTCTGATGTTACCTGTTGTTACCTGACCTGGGCTCAATCACTTGGATACAACAGGTGTGATTAGCCGATAGGTTGAGGATAATGAAAATTATCAAACTATTAAAATTTTAATGTAAAATATAAAATATCACCTACTATATACATAAAATAACAATCTAATTACTAGTTAATTTTAAAAGAATAAATTTGAACTCATTTCCTTGATTAATTAATTAAAGGGAGATAATTATTAGGTTACTATGGATAGCTATTAATGCCAATAATAGTAATGATACTATGGACAGCTATTAATGCCAATAATAGTAATGATACTATGGATAGCTATTAATGCCAATAATAGTAATGTTACTATGGACAGCTATTAATGCCAATAATAGTAATGTTACTATGGACAGCTATTAATGCCAATAATAGTAATGTTACTATAGACAGCTATTAATGCCAATAATAGTAATGATACTATGGACAGCTATTAATGCCAATAATAGTAATGATACTATGGACAGCTATTAATGCCAATAATAGTAATGATACTATGGACAGCTATTAATGCCAATAATAGTAATGATACTATGGACAGCTATTAATGCCAATAATAGTAATGATACTATGGACAGCTATTAATGCCAATAATAGTAATGATACTATGGACAGCTATTAATGCCAATAATAGTAATGATACTATGGAGAGCTATTAATGCCAATAATAGTAATGATACTATGGACAGCTATTAATGCCAATAATAGTAATGATACTATGGACAGCTATTAATGCCAATAATAGTAATGATACTATGGACAGCTATTAATGCCAATAATA